GTGATATATATATATATATATATATATATATATATATATATATGTTTATATGACTAGCGAGAATATATTAAAGTTTCAGATTATTTTAATTTTTGTTTTTAAACATAATCTTCATAAATATTATTATAATGTAATTCGAATAAAAAGTTTTATATGTATATCGGGCAAGGAGGATGCTTTTATGAACGATATATAATTTTAATAAACAATAAATAAAAAAATTTTAAATGGAAATTACAAGAATAAGTGCTTTCTTTAATGCTTGTCGTTATTAAATCTCATGCGATCTATAATTTTATATCGCACGTTTCTCTTTTACGAAATAATAATTTTAAACTTAACAATGCAACTTAATTAAATATAATAAAAGATATTTTACTCATTAAAAACATGTATTGAATTAATTTCAAAATATATTATAATATATTATAATTATTTACAATATAAGTGTCTAGATAGTAAATATGAAAACTTCTTAGCAATACACTTCTAAATATCTATTTTTTTTTTTTACTTTCAGGTGGCGTGGATTCACGTTGGTCGTCAAATGCTGCTCACTATTCACAAGCACGTGGTCGTGAAAGTACCCAGGTTTTCCGTGACACATGACAATCAGAAAACATGGTTGCTTCATATTAATAGCGTGCAACAGGACGATCGGGGTTACTATATGTGCCAAGTAAATACTAATCCTATGATAAGCCAAGTGGGCTATCTTCAAGTCGTTGGTAAATATTTTACTAATAATTAAATAACTTACTACAAATAATTTACATATAAAACGTATATGTCAAATTGCAACGAAAAAAAACAGTGGCATCAAATATGTATTTTAATACAAAATTATTTTTATTATTTAATTGTCGAATTGAATTTAAAAAATATTTTTACGATCAATGTTATCTGAAATAAATATCGACTTTGTAAAATTTAAATTAGACATAATGCTTGATAGACGTTAATTATTTAACATTATTGTGGGCTACATTCCGAATAAAAAAGTTCGTTTGTACGTTTTCCCCAGTGCCACCAAACATATTGGATTCCCTTTCTACGGAAAGCACCGTGGCAGTTCGAGAACATCAGAATATTACTCTCACATGTAAAGCCGATGGATATCCACCGCCAAAATTAATGTGGAAACGAGAGGATGGCCAAGTAATAAGCATTAACAAGCACCATAAAGGTACGTTAGTATCAAATTATTTTCGTCGTAACGTAATGTCTTGATTTACTTTGTACGTGGAATATCAAAAATCTATTTAGTGCAGTAGATACATACAGTAGATGCATATTTAACATTTGAACGTTTGGCATAATATTTTAACATAATATTTTTCATCGAGTTATACATTTGTTTCGAGCGTTTGAATAATTTTCTTTGTTCGCCTCATGTACGAACTTAGAAAACGATTCCACGAGTTTTCCCTTACGATGTCTCGAGATCTCTTGTCTACGCGAGTCGAAACTTTGAAACACTTTTACAAGACGAAACGGGCGTATTTGTAATGCAGCCGAAGTTCAATGCGGAAAGTAATTTTTGGTACGAGGATGTTCTTCTTCCTACGGATGTTCTACGTTTTTCTCCGAGTCGGGCCGAGTCCCACGAGTCCTGGCATCGACGTCTCAGGTAGGTAACAGATCGACGGACGTTTGCTGAATCGAAGAAAATTCGAAGTCAATTTTCATCAATTACGGGCGTAGATGTCTGCCAACCAAGAGTGCGTTAGAAAATGCAAAATGAAAAGCCGCGTAAACATCTTATCGATTTAGCAATTTCGTGTTTCTACGATAATCCGATTTATACGAGGAATTTACCGGTTCTGATCACATTTCAACAGCGACATGCGACATACAGATAGATTTAGCAAGGGAAATATTCAGACAAATATTTAGTCAAATATTTATCCGATAAAAACAAGTATATAATTTAATCGTGCGTATGTTTTTGCAAATCTCTGCGAAACGGATAAAACGCATCATGTTTCAATAGTTAGATGTTAATCTCGTCGCGCATTTTATTTAATTCTTAAATAAATCGGTGATTTGAGAATTGATGAACGAATGCGCGATAAAATTTTTAATATCAGGAGAGAGAGAGAGAGAGAGAGAGAGAGAGAGAGGAGAGAGAGAGAGAGAGAGAGGAGAGAGAGA